CAGGACAGAATAATCAAATTATACAGCAAATCAGTACTTAAGGAGGAACTTCTTCCACCAGCAAAGCATGGAGTAGTACTACGTTATTACCTTCTCTTACCACTCTAAGAAATTCCTGAGTGATCTCCCATATTGGCCTGAATGAACTCCTGGTATTTTCATGACTCTCAGAACACAAATGTTTGGCAATTAAGAGACATTATTTTAAAATATGCATATGGAAATCAGACAGTGGCCATTTCCCTCCATGTACTATTCTGAGATTCCCAGGTGACTCTCCCTAGCAGACTATCAAAACAAATGATTTATTTTTAAAGTTGCATAGCAGCAGACATTCCGTAAGTATTTTCAGGAATTTTTATATTTCACACTAAACAAATGAATTAGGGAACAAATGGGTAATTGTTAGCATAAACTATTGTAGCTAGCAACTCCGATAGCATAGATGCTGTTGCAAGCGTAATAGAATGTTTGGCAAAGACACTGTAACCCTATTGTTAGCAGAAGTTCCAAAAATTGGGTAGATAACAGAAATTTGAATGTATACACTCAGTGACCACCTGGTTGAAACCAGCCTTGCAGTCTGAAGCTCAGCCAACTCAGCATTCTGGGCCAAAGGTGAAGGTACCCGGTGAAGAAGACTGTGAATCTTCCTCCAAAAGACCCCAATAGACAACCACCAGACGGCAGTATGCATGCGCCAGGAGGAGGGAGCCTATGATAATAGGTTCTCAGAAATAATTAAAATATCCCACCTTTTCTTAGAACTAGTTGTACTAACCCAGCCTATGGTAATGAATATGTACACTGCAGAACCATATAAGGGACAGTTGATGCAACATACAGTGTGCAAGCTAGGAGGAGCTATCCCCCTTGCACCCGGCGCCGTAATAAACATACCTGCTTTATAACTCTTTTGAGTTGTGAAGTTTTATTCCACACGTCACAAAGATCAGACTCAAAAAAGCAACACCAAAACTACCTAAAAAATTGCCACAGCACATCTTGGATGCACCTCCAATTTCTTGAGACAGAACATAGCAAGGGGTGTTAATCTCACCACATCATTTATCTTATTTTTGTTACAGTTACCTGTACCTAATCTAAGACAACAAGTTCTAGTAGCTTCAAGGTAGATCACAAAAGACAACAGCTTCAAATTTTCAAATTCATAAAGGCACTTTTGCATTTCTTTTTAATTCATTTTTGTGTCATTGCAATAAAATACTTCAAATTCTATTTCAGTAATCTGAGAATAAAACATCCCCTCCTGACACTTAGCACTTGGCTCCTCCCCTCTGTCTGATGTGCACTCATTTTCCTGTTACAGTAAATACATTTGAATCCCTTTAAAACTTAAATATAAAGGGCAAGGGGCAAAATCTTAAAGATTAACCTAATTTGTCCCTCAATCTTAAGGTCTGTCCCAAAATGGCTACTGACTCAGGGAAAAAAACATTACCGACCAACGCTGTTTCCACCATCAGCAGCATTACTGAAGTAACTACTCACGGTAAGTACCACATTCTGGATTCGCAGGACTCAGCAGAGCTCTGGCTTATGTACATGCATTGCAGGACCCCTCCCCAGTGGTTCTAGAAAATCCACTGCAGTAAAACACTAAGTTAGTTTAAACAGAATATGAATTGTCTGCACAGTCCCCATCAACCAACTCCCTGTTTTGTTGGGGTAAGCCAGTGTTTTGATTATTACTTAGAATAAGATGGAAAGATTAAGCGATGTTTTAGAGCTTATTTAAAACTCTCTCTTGTGCCTCTTCCATTCAATGAACTGGTTCACCCTAAAAATCACTAAATTTTTGCCAAAAACATTTAATAAAAAAAAAAATTTAAAAAATCAGAAAATAACAGGTTGGGTTGTTGTTTTTTTTTTTTAAACGTAGCCCATTTTTTCTACAAAAACCAACATAAACCTTAAAAAAACCACAAGGGCTTTACTGTAAAGCTTATAGTGCACATAATTCCATTTTAACCTTGAAAAATTAACAAGACTGCTGGAGTTTTGGATAGAGCATATTGTTACCAACATTGTTGAAAAAATAATTCAACAGAACAGATGAGCTGCCTAACAAACATATTCAATAAAGTGAGCAACCTGGACGTCCTGTTTATCATAGAAATGCTTTTTCCAGTTCTCATATTACTCACCTCCAATTTACTGATCAGCAACAACATTTACTACCAAGGTGCATTTTTTGTCAAATTCAGAAATCCATACCAACCGGCTACAGAACTCTGCAGACACGCTTTTCATCCTCTCAGAATACGAGGCCGGAGAACAATTGTTATCATTAAATCAATTGCTGTAATTACTTTTAGAAGTAACTTTACCTAAACAATTTATGATCAACTTACAGTAGATGTGCAAGAGCAGTCCAAACAGGCATAGGACAATAACCAGAACATTCCAAAACAGGCTTTTTTTTTTTTTTTTTTTTAGACCAATGTGTGGAAACCACAGGAAGAGAGGAAAAAAGTAAAACAACAAACAAACAAACAAACAAAAACACCCTACACAACACTCTGTATTTATGTTATCAACATTTCAACAGAAGTCTTAGAGGGTCAGCATTTCCCATGAATCAAAATCAGAAAATTTAACAAACACAGGTAAAACCTTAAAACATTTTTTCAGTTCAAGTCTGTACAAGCTGATTTAATATTTTAAGCTGACATCAGAAGACTGAATAAATACTGGTGTTTTCCCCAGTAGAAAAGAGTTCTTCATTCCTTACCTCATCATCTTTATACCAGGACAAGCTTTCTGCAGTTAGAACGAACCAGTACTCCTTGGATCCTCCTTTCATGATGCCAATATTGTTGATGGTCAGCCAGCCTTTCCGGATGACCTGTGCAGAGGTGCAGTCAGGCACAAGTTTAGTTCATTACTCACTTGACATAATTCTGCTGCTGCATTCATTCTTTTAAATAAAGACTTGCTAAATAAAACAAGAACAGGTGCATTTTTTCAGTCTCTGGCAAATTCAAGAGTTTTTGCAGGTTCCTATCATTCAAGGGAAAAAAGTAACAAAGTGAATGTAGTGTTTTCAGTCAAAAGGTTGGAGAAAGAGAGAAACCTAAGTATTATCGTGTTGTACTTACAGCAAGTATGAGTGCATTCAGGATCGTGTACACTTGAAGATATTTATTTGCTGTATAGTAAGACATTGTAAAAGTCCATACAACTTTATAGATGACTACTCTGTTCTAGTCTAATTGTTAATGTCATTTGTAAAGTTCGATACCAGGAAAAGCACGTAGATTCTGGCAAAGTGAGTGGCTTCTGGCACACATTGGGAATTTTCAGAAGGGGTTGAATCAAGTGACAAAGTGGAGAGGTCTTCTACAGTTAATTTGAAATTAAGATAGGAAGTGGTAAAGAGAGGTATATGAGAACTATTTTCCTCTCATAAGGTAGAAGAGGAAAAGAAAAGAGTAAAAAAAAAAAAACTAAGGCAGCAATAAAAATCAGGGGGAAAATGGGTAAAGCAGAACTTCATAAAATAGATACAAGCCAAAGATGAAAGAACAGATGGGAACGGCATACCTATAAATACTAAGGCCAGGAGGCTACATCATGCAGACAAGTTTTCTTTTGTCCCTCTTTAAGAGGAATGAGACAACTCCAGAGGTGAAGAAGAGAGAATGGTCATGAGAACTGGTTTATGGATCATACAGAAACTTTCAATTTTATTGGAACATTTATTGTTTTCCAATACATATATGAGAAAGCAAACATTCCTTCCTATCATACTCTGAACAAGACAACAGAACTCTCCCAATCACACAGATGCAGGGAAGCTCAGCCTTTCTGTTTCTCCCCACAGTAACACCCTTTACTTGCCTATGAAGTATTGAGGTGGAAAGAAGAAGTGCTCAGAGAATCCATTCAGAACTCCCTCAGCAAGTCCCTCAAGCACGGGCTTGTGAGATCAAACATGAGTTTCCTCTTGCGTTTAGAGAAATATATGAGACTGTAACGTTCCTCTCATACGGCTTTACAAGACTAGTAACTCCAATATCAACAGATAACCAGAGAAAAACATTGCTCAATATCTATTCCTTGTCATCTGTAAAAGTTTCAGAATAGGAATTCACTCCCATTCAGTATTCATGTTCATGTAAGCTCCCTGAAAAAAACAGCTTTGGTATTGCACAGAGCAAGGGACTAAGTTATATTTGATAACTAAACCAAAGAAAGAGATCAGAAGTTGCACCTGAAAAGCCGGTGAAGTATTAATAATGCACATAATCCAAGAATATCAACTTCATTTCAAATAAGATGATCATGTTTTCCCACTCACTACCAACCAGGCCAGTAGTGTAACAAAACCACTGAAGATCCAAAAACAGTCTACGGGTTTTCAGCCTGTAAGAAAATCACTAAGAAAGCGTTGATTTGGTTCTGAAGACTCAGTAAGCTATGAGAGAACTAGACATGACTCCCGTAGAGAGACTCAAGGGTACAGCACGAGCAGACCAGATGGAATAGCCTGTACCACAAAGGTTTCTACAGAAGTTTGTAATTATTTTTACTATTCGTGTTCATTGGGGGGGGGGGGAGCGGAGAGGGAGCATTACTGAGTACAAACAGACATGGAATGCTTGTCCGAGTGCAAGTTAAGGGAAACATACTGATACAAACTTGATTACCCGTCAAATCCTCATTTTATTTTATGATGTTTATTGAAGTAAACTTTTCACAGGAAACAAACAACATGCATATACAGCCGGTGTACTGGCCTTCAGGCAGCTGCCACAGAACAAGTTGTGGAACCCAGCTAATTTCATTTTTTTCTGCGCTGAACTACACAAATGCAAAGGGAAGAAATTTTAGGAAAAATCCAGGAAATTAAGGTTCCTCAACCACCTGAACAAGGTGAGCTATATTTGTACAGCAGACTAAATACTTCACAGCAAGTGTGCAAAGGTGGTTATTTCCATGTTATAAAGAAACTGAAATAAAAGGCTATGAGAGAGGATGCTGTTGAACCATGCCATCTGCAATTGAAAATGCTGTGTTGCTCCCCATAAAGCACATACAGGAAGCACAGGCAGCCAGGCCAGCAGCACACTACTGAAAACTGGTTGGACACACGTTAGAGAGGGTAAAAGATTTGAAGACAGATGTCACAGTGGGGATAAAAGAGGTGGTTTCTAGAAGCAAACCAGTAAGAAAGACCCAAGTAGCATGTTCAAGAACTTTACAGGTAATGAGCACTTTAAAAAGGGAAGGGAAGTGGCACTCTGCTTATTCCATTCAGTGCTTTCCCTCATCATTACCATAGGCTTTGTAGCGTGTTAATAAGTCAGATTTTCTCAATTTGACAAGAACGCATTTGTGGTAGAGGTCTCAGAACAGACCAAACCAAGATTTTAAAATCTAAACTATACAAGCCATTTAAGAAGTAATGATGCTTTTAATACTTCTAATGTAGGAACTACATTAGTTGCATAGCTCCAAAAGACTTGCTCCGGTCCAATGCATCTCCCCATAGATGCATAACCACCACTGGGTGTGGACAGACACAAGCTGACTTGCTAATACAAACATTGGTCACTGTCTTGTAAAGGAAGGAATTTGCCAGTTGTTTCCTCAAAAATCTTGTGTGCTGAGGATTAGATCCAGCTGTCATTCCCACACAACACTGCATGAAGAGCAGGGCACCAAGCTATAGCAATATCTTGGGTACATGTTTTTCATGTGCAAATTTCTAGATCTGTTTATCTATACCCCTCTGGGAAAGCAGGGTACTGTGTTCTCTAAAATATCCTGGACACTACAACAGATCATAATTATCCAAAATACTTGGAAGCAGTTCCAGGGGACATCAAGGGAGAGAAGATGAGCTTAGTGTGCTAAGCCTCACTTCTTTTTATTAAATTGTTCCTGTTTCCCAGGCACATTTTGTTAACTACAAAAAGCTACACTTTCAAAATGCTCAGTACCAGTGTTGGGGTCAAGGGGGAGGGAGATGTCAGATCAAGGTGTAAGTGCAAAACAAAGTGAGATTGACCAACAGTTTTACTTTCCAGAGAAGCTGAATTACACCTTAGATTCCAGCCAATTTCTCAAAAAATAATGCAAGCTATATTTTAGAAATAAGTGTCCTTCCATGGGCAATAAGCAGCAAAGACTTTCAAAGAGAGTTCTGAAGTTAAAAAAAACTCGGAGGGGGGCGTGGTCGGTTTTTTCTTTTTTTAAACTATTGTGTATAGTACTTCAGCTTAAGAAATGAAAGTAGTGTGTTTCATTATTGTTTTCACTAGTACATCTTCTGGTTGGTTTGGATTTAAGAGATCCATTTCAATATTTTCTATCATATTTCTAAATGTCACTCTGTGCAAACCGGATATTAGTGACATAAGTTATGAACTTCAGGAAGGTGAAAAATATGGGCATTGCCAGAAGCCAGTGAAGACAACATTCTGACCGGTAGTTGGGCTCCATGTACAGGATGAACAAGAGATGACACAATTCCTTCCTTCAGGGTCCTGATACCTAATCTGGGTGTCTGAAAAATGAAACTTAGAGGGTACGAATGCACATGAACAAGCCAGACGGAAGTCATTTTCTGATAGTTCAGCTGCACAAAACCCAAATCATATCTGTTGTTCTTATTCTCCACCACTTCATGGATAAACAGGAAGGCAGGATTTGACACAATAAGTACATTTTATGTATTGCTGCATGACTTATTCCATTAAATCAAATCAGGTATTTGTAAAAGAAATACATTAGAGAACCAGAAAGTGTTCCATTTCTTTAAAAGAAGTATTTGAAAGATAATTTCAAGATAAGTGAGAGAGTAGTGAAATTGACTGGGCAGACAGAATTACAAGTGTGAAAATCATGAGACTGGCTACTTCCACAACAATACAAGCAGTAGCATTTGTTGAGTTAACATAACTCTCTATTAAAGTTGTGTTACGTAACTCCATTGAAATAATTTTTTAACAGACAACACAACTCCCAGCACTACTCTATCTTCTAATCACTGTCATAACAAAATGTGTTACCAAATAGTAAGCACATTGAGAGAATAAAAATTGCAAAAACTACTCTGCGAGGCATCCTTACAGGCTATTGGTTCTTTGGGTTCAAATATGAAGATTCTCGCACTACAGAGGCTGAAAAGGAACAACAGATTAGTGGGGAAACCTAATACTGTATTTCACTGTAGTTTGCCAAATGTCAGAGCATAAACTGATCAGATCTGTTCTGATGCTGAACACAACTGAGATCTAGTGACATCGCTTCCCCAAAAAAATCACTGCACAATATATCGCATAACTTTAAAATAATGACAGCGGCTTAAGTCCTAAACACATGTCTACTTTAAAGACAAATTTAGTCTTTACTGAAGCAAAGCACTCAGTAATGAAAAATTGAAACATGCTTCCAAATGTAGTTAAACAAAGATTGAGGTGATTAAGTCAATCATGAAGGAATCTTAACCTAAAAAATAAGAATAGTTAAAGGCCATTTAGAACAGCAATACTTCTCTAGTCTTGATAAGGTGAAAATTCAACAGCAGCATGTCTCATTCAAGGATACTTCAAAACTTAGCATCATGTGGTTGTCCATGGGCACCTCTTTTACAGAAACACTAGCATTTCTTAACAGAGCAGCCTTGTCATGATTTTTCATGACCACCTCAATGACCGTGGCACAAGTTTCCATTTCCATCTACTTGCTTAAAAAAAAATTCTGTAAACACATTTTTTTCCTGGGTCATGCAAGGTAACAGGATTTAAGTATATTTGAAGACAAGAAGCAGCAAAGTATGCTACAAAGCAGGATTAAAAAGAAAAAAGGGGTTACTAGGGAAAAAGTTACTTATTAGCACTATAGTTCAGGCCAACTGATGGGGTCTGAATGCTGCTTGTGTCCAGAACAAGTGAATCAGATTGCTGGTGTAACATTGTAGAACAGGCAGGTCAAACAAAGCCTTCGAACCCAAACCTCCAAATCACTTGGACAGTGACTTGAAACTCAGTTCAGATTAAGCCCCTTCTCCAATTACAGGGGTTACTTCAAGCACAGCAGCAGATTTTGCCACAGAAGTAAAAAACAAACCAGAATTTCATATAAATTATATATAATCCTCTATAATTTGAGTATCTTGCATTCTCACACACAGAGTATCAATTGGGCACATGGAGCAATGACACCTTCACCTTCAAAGGTTTATCATAAAGGGGAGCTTTAAACACTAGATTTTAGTCACCAAAACAAATCTCAACACACAAAATACACAGTTAAGAATGGGTCAGCTTTCAGGAACCAGATCTTGCTAGTGTGCTGTGTAAAACCAAGCATTAAACTGATTATTTCAAGCAAATTAGAAGACAGACTAACCTGTGGCTTAAAAAGAAACTTTGTGGAGTCAGGTCAAAACCTCAGGCGGTAGCAAAGAAAAGACAAACAAAAAAGGCCAAAGATTAAGCATGAGAGGATAAATTAGTAGTAGAGGAAAAAGGAGCAAAAACATGTTAAGAGGAATTGGCATTACACTTCTTCCAAAAATGCAGTATTGCAGCGCTCATCTCGTTTCTGAGATACACAGAAATAGTTAATAGTTATCTGCATCATTCCAGTTCAAAGCAAGCTACAAAAAGGAAAAGCAACGAATTGCAAATGACCATCCCACTATTTTGGGAAACCTTAATGATCTTGATCTCCCAAGAGATTCAATTCAACTGCTGTTAGAATCAGTGCTGCCTAGTCCTTTTCCCTTTATTGAACGTAAGTTTGTTTGAAATGATAACTAATATAATTTGATGATGTGGTAACAAACTGGAAAAATGTATATGTTTTCACCATAGATATTACTAAAGAATGCATACAATACAGAGATTTACTTCTTACACCTAACCATCACTGAACCAGGAGTAATTTGTTATAAAATTAACTGCCGTTTAGCAAATTAATTCTAATTAGTAATATTAAAGGCATTCATGTATTTATTTACTCATGAGGTGGAAGGGTTAGAAAAGAGTCTGTCCATGATATATTGATCCTCCTGGTGCTATGAAAAGAGTGCTAAAAAGGCTTTAAATATCCCTAAGTTTATTAATAAGTCACTTTTCCTATCAGAAGTAATTCCTTTACATAAACAAAATACCAAGAACAGTACCTGTACCCATAAACAGCATGTTCATTTATGCAAGAGCTAATGTTTCCTTTCGGTTACCAGAAACTTATTTGCCCACCTTTCAAAAATAGGTTTACTACGAATAGAGGCACTTATATCAGATAAAAACTGCTTTCCAGTTATATAATAATATAAACACCAATTAGTCATTTTAGTTTGAGAAACTCAGTAAATTATAAAAACATTAATTTATTCAATGTTTTCTACAACATTTTAAGTTATACTAGTTCATACTTGTAACAGCAGGTTAGTAGCAGTTAAGTGATGAACTGCAATTATACTTTGTTGAGGAAGTGTTACAGACAAGACAGTTTACAATTAAATAGTTTAGTAGCAAGTATTCAACAAACCAATGAGTTAGAGACAAACTTTGCCCTCTGAGAAGCTAAATGAAAAAGCAACAATAAAGCTTACAGAACTTAGCTCGTACAATTTGCCTTGAAGGCGGTAGATTGGTTCCCTGAAATAGCAAATTGCAAAAATGAAGTTTTATTTCAGAAACATTTTCGCATTCTTTTCAACTCCAAACAATTAACTTAAACATATGTTTATTATCTTTAAAACAAAAGGTTCAGCAAAGTCCTTTATACCAAAAGTAATCAAGTTTCAACATTTAATTTAAAATGCCAAGCTTTTTCTCCACTTCTTTAGAGAGAGAACATTCACTTAATTAAAAAATCATTCATTTTATTTGTGTATTTTTGAAGAGTCAGATAATTGGTCGGTTTTCCTTTTATGGGACACTCCAAAGTGATGACGGTTGTTGTGTTTGACACATGTTCCGGCACAGCTAGATAAGAAGGAAATCTCTCCTCAGAAGGGAGAGACTAGTCTTTGAAGCCATTTCAGTGTTTAGACCTTTCAACTTCTTTCATTTTAGTCCAAACCATATATTACATCAAAAATGCCACTCATGCTGGTCAGGCTGTGGAAGACCATCACATCCAAGAAGTTAATGGATTATTTTAACTGACATCTCAAAAATAAGTAGCAATTTCTTGGTGGGAGGAAAAGGTTGGATTTCTACCCCCAAAAAGACGACTAAGTTTTCAAAAAAATGCTAGACCTCTCATCTACAATAGCAGAATAGGAGGCTTTCTGAAATGTCAGGTTTATCACCTGGGGGATCTAAATTCAGTGATCGCATTTGAAAACCTTGACCTTTCACCTCCTGAGCACTGTTTGACCAAATTGCACATGAAAACATGAGGAAGACATTCAATACTGGTAGTTACTTAATTTCATTGTCTTATTTTTACTAGAATTTTTTACTTCCTTTTAAAGTATGTACTAATTCCATAACATTTTCTTTCTGTGTAAGACTTTGCAAAACCCTCAAACTGAGCAGAAACCCTCAAAGTTGTAGCATTTTCATCTCACATAAAAAAGGACTGATCCTGTGAAGTACTGAGCACCCCTGGCCCACACAAAAGCAAAGGAAGAAGCAAAGCTCAGGAGCACTTAGCATCTTGCAGAATCAATCCCATATTTTTATGTGATAAAAAGAAACAAACAAGTATTTCATTAATGAATCTCAGTGAAAACGCTCATTAATCTGAGACCATCAACCAGTTATTCTTTGTTTACTTTGAGAGAGGCCTATGGTACATAGTCAACATCTTTGTGAAGTCAACTGAAAGTTTTCAGAAGAGGTAAAGGCAAATCCGCTTTTGCTTGCTGAATTGCCCCTTCACTGCTATTAAGCTGTGAACACGTAAGAACTAGTAAAATGACTATGACAAAGCACACACAAGCAAATACTCACCAGCATTTTGGATTCTGAAATTCACAAGTTTTCCATTAATGACAAAATACATTGTCATGTGTAACATGAAAGATTCAATGCACTAAACAGCACGGGAGGGGAGACACTAACCAGCAGTGCAAGCAGTAGCAGAAATATTAAACAATGATGATGACAATGAAAGTCAGGTGGCTCTGAAAAATTCAGTAAAACAAGGTGATGATGATACGTTTTATATATGTTTGAAGCAGAAAAGGTAAATGATACACTTACAACAGACGCAGCCAAGAAAACCAAACAGCTTAGATTAGCTTGCACATGCCATTATCCATTCTGTTAGGTGCCTACCTGATTTCCCACTGCACTTTTGTTAACCTGACTGCTTCTTTGTTGGGCACTAAGGGAAGCAGAGGAAAAGAGTTATACTGAAGAAACTTTAACTAAGCCAGTTCCCAAGGAATAGATTTTAGCAGTAATAGTTACTTCTGATTCCAGCACTGAAAGCTAGAGTAACAAAGAAACACAGCAAAATCATTACATATATGTGCATATTTCAACTACTTTTTCTTACAGTATAGGAATGCCTGCTTAGGACATAAGGAATATGCACATCAGACAGCTCCTACTAATCATCTCTTTTGTAACAACATCCTACTTGGATTGGTAAAGGTTACTAAAAGCACAGAGAAATTATGGCTCATGTGGGTAACTTTGGAAACATTAGCCTCTATAAATATTGAAAAGAGACAAAAAGCATGCCATTTCTGTTATTTAGCACAGTACAACAAAATACTCCCCTGCTGGAGGCTCCTTAGTAGCTTTGTCTTGACAGTTTGTTTTGGATATTATTCTAATATTTATACGCACTTTGAGGGTATAAATATAACCAATGGATGAAGCCATCACAAAGCTGGTTCAAAAAGCTGGAATCGTATAAGAATAGAGTATATTTGAAATTAAACCATATTTAAAATATTTTGCTCAATTCTTGAACTCTGGTAATCCCAGTTCCTGAAACAAAACACGGTCCTGTCTCAAAAACATACCAGTTGCCATTAATTCTAAAAGCATTTGCATTACGTGGTGGTTTGTAAGTGTTAGGCCACAAAATTAAAATATTGCTGGAAAGAGGAAGAAAAGCATTTAGAGAGCAGACTTTGGCTACTCAACCACCAGAGCGGCCACTGGTGACAGAAAATTTTGTTTGGATTAGATTATACCATTTCACCAGGCATTGATTAACTGAAGAAAAAAGCATACATACTAGGTCAGCTACATACGCTGCTCTGAAAGATGTGCTTGGATCACAGCCTATGGGCCAATCCTAAAACTGTTTTGTGCGCAGCTACTGTTCCAAGGAATTGCTGAAGCACCAAAAACTCAGCCCCATCCCAACTTTGATCCTGCCCTTCGGACCATACTCTTATCAAACCAGCAGTCCACATGCTGTCCATGGGAAGACCCACAAGGATGTTTATTCCACATGCCTATTCACTGGGCTTAGCTCTCAATCATCCAGATCCTTTTAACCAAATAACATTGCATGTGTCTGGTGCATCATCTGAGTTGCATAAGCTTTGGTGCATAAATTATGATTAAATAAAGTGCACACAGAAAACACAGTACTAACCCCTCACTAATTCTGATCTGTTGTTTGAGAAACACACAAGATGGCTTTAGGAAACCTAATTGCCATTCTTTTGGTTTGGTTTTGGGTTTTGGTTTTTTTTTATTTTATCGCCTTAGGGAAGCTAATTAGACCACTAACATCATACTAAGAAACCCATGCTTTTTAGAAATAGCACAGCAATTGGTCCTCTATTTACTGTTCTAAATACAAATTACTCTTTATGTAGATTGAAGCATGTAGCTATGTCTGAGTTACACCAACTGGAAACAAACCCAATCCCAACATTTTATCACTCATTCTGTTAAATGAGAAATGTTAATATTCTAAGATTTCACAATTTCATAACTAGGCAAAGTTGTTCTAAATATTGGCATTCTTAAATCCTTCTCAAGTCAATTCACATCACGCTGTACCTGGCTTAGGCCCTGTAATGCTGCAAGGTAGTTTGAAACGTCTTGTGCTCTCATTCTTATGAACAAGGTTCACAGGACTTACACTTATAAAACACTGCAGTCACGTAGACAACCGGCTACAAGACCGAGCAAAAGAAAGGAAACAATAGGGAATCGGGGGAATCTATAGTCTAGGATGTTTAGATACTGCAGAAGCCCATATGCTACCCAAAAATTATTTCATTTCCCAGTTCTAACATAACTGCTATAATAATAGTATGATTATAGTTTAAAATGTGCATTTTCTACTGTTTAGCTCAAATTAATATATTTTACATTTTAAATTGTTCTTAGTTATCCAAGTTTTCTCTTCCAGTTGAGCAAAAGTCAACAAAGATACTTCCCTTCCCATCGGTTTCAACCTATAGAAACACTAGTTTAAACTTATCAGCGAACTTAAGCGAAAAGCCATTTGTTACCTGCGTATACCCTGTGCACAGTGGCTGGGGATTTCTAGATATCAACTGGCAAAAGAGGAAGCAGCTTTCCCAAGAAACTGAACTCGGGCACTGCAACTCCTTGGAAAAGACACAGCAGTGAGGACCACGTACTGAACTACAGGCCCCAGCAGCAGCATCCATGAGGGGGATTTTTCTCAGGGGAGAGACATAATGAAATAGCTCCAGATATACCTGGCACTCCAGAATCCAAGACTATAAAACATGGAAGGTTCCAACTTGACACAAGGAAAAGTCTTTTCACAGTAAGGAAAGGCAAGCATTGGAACAGGCTACATAGAGAAGCTGGAGAATCTCCAATTTTGGAAGTTTTCCAGATCTGACTGGACAAAGCCCTGAGTAACCTGGTCTGAACTCAGCATCGACCCTCCTCTGAGCAGGAGGTTGGACTATGTGACTTCCCAAGGTCACAACACACCCCATGAATATATATGGAGTGTTTTTAGCAGGCTTTTTCCTGTCAGAAAAGGATGAAGAGAAGTAAATAGCAGGCACGTTGTTATCTTGACCTCTAGAAGGCCAGCTACCATTCCTACAACATCCTGTCATTTGTCAAGAGAACTGATAAAGATATCTAGGACCTGCAAACAATTCTAGAGAAGGTTGCTCAAACCAAACACATAAACAATGCCTGGCTTTGCCTTCCCCCCTCTACAGCTTACTGAACTCCACGCTTTAAACCTTCACGGCATACTGCCAAAGATGTAGACCTTCCTTCACAGTGCTAACTAGAATAGGCAATAGTATAATCCGTACTATGGTGCCAAACTTTGTTGCCAGCATCCCACATGGATGAAACCTGTTGTGATTCCAAACACTGTTATGGCAAACATGGCATGAATATGACTGAAGGAACATTTATTCTACAAAGAGTGAAGACCTTTTTAATGTTTTTACTAGTGTCAAAATGTTGGTATGAAGTCCCTGAGGCACAAATTGCTGGAAGCTGAGGGAGAACATTCTGGAGAATATTCTCACAGCCTTTTCAGTTAAGCAAGGAGAACATCAAACTAGGCCCTGCAGGGCATTCTGCTACTATTATTCTCTACAGCCAAACAGCAGGCACACTTATGGGACATCCATTACTGAGCAAAACTGTTTCACACGGAATCACAGCTCCCAAAATATGCATTAGCAACAATGTGGAAAGACCACCAATATTATACATTTCTGTGGTCTTAAAATGGATACAGTGAGGGCATCGTCTTGCCGAAGCTGCTTCCTGAGCAGATGCATATGATTCCAGACCAAGACATAAGCTTCAGCTTCAGTGAAACCAGGCTTCTGAACCGGGGTAGAAAAATCCCCCACAAGTGGGACAGAGTTCAACACTGTGTATATTGAGAAAGAGCATGCTCCTGCATGTTTGGGACTTTGCAGCTTGCATCTTCACTGTCACACTTCAGGACTTGTGTTGTGAACTTATTTAAAAAAAAGAAAAAACCAAACACCTGACAGTGTCTTTATAACAAAGTCTCTATATACGTACTTTGCGAAGCCAATGAAGTCTTCATGGTTGGTGTTAATGTAAGAAACCTGGATATCAATCAGCAGCAGCACCTATTAGGGGAGACAGGAGAGCAAAAAAAAAAAAGGATGGGTAAGGTGGAAGAGAGAGATTGAGGAAAAGGAAGGGAGAAAAGAACAGAACTTTTGAGTTTTCTGCATTATTGAATGTTGCTTTCATAATCGTTCAAGCCAAAAGGAACAATATTTTCTAAATCCCACCACTTCTCTTCATGTGCTTGTTTAATAAGCTAGACTACAGAAGAGCTGTTCCCTCTTCCTATCTTTTTTCCTGACAGACCTCATTTTTCACTATCTTGGCCCTTGTCTACTTCATTAAGATCAATCATACATGGCCAGAGAGAGTTTAATAATATATAACATAGATTCTAAGTCTACGTTTTGCAAGTTAAGCAAAATTCTGCCTATTTGTAGCATTCCAGCCAAGCCACCAAGGAACCTAAACCATAAACCTAAAATCAGGGTACCTAAATTTTCTTTAGGTACAAAATTCTTTCTACACAAAGAAATGGTAGGTAAGCTAGCCCTGGCCCAGCAAATGTACAGTGCAGGTACGAGACAGCCATTCTGGTGCACACATCTGGCTTGAGAGATGGGCTAGTCAATGAAATAACAGAATGAGTGGTTTGTGTAGTTCTCACTTGCCAGTCCTAAATAGCCCAGAGACAGAATTTTATTTGAACTTGATAATCTAACTCAGCAAAGAACTTGATAAGATATTAGAGAAAGCTCACTCCCGCCCCTGAACAGCTTCTTGTTCATGCATGAGACTGCACTTTCCCCCCATCTTTTCAGACTTCCATTTATCAGCAGGGAGCAAGGAAGAGACCTATTGCTACCAAATGGTAGCATTTAATCTCTTCAAAGTGTACAGAGTTATTTCTGTACAGCTCCTCAAACACAGCATCACTCCCAAATTCTTCACAATTTCCAGAAGACATTAGGTGCCTCACTCAGAGCAAGAGATAGTGGGGATTTCAGTCCAGCTCTATCCTCACTAGTGGTTTGATTTATTAACAATAACTGCTAACAGCATAAATAATGATGTGAATATGTGACAATAACCTATTTGACCAATTCTTGGCATTTACAAAAAGCTGGTATTTTGTACTTCGTTCTGGGAAATTGCCAGGTATGTGCACACAATGAAGAATGGAATAATGAGAAAAAAAGACTCAATTATTCTAAGTAACTGGTATCTTCTTCCAAATTTTGAAATAACTGAGTGTGTTAACTAGAACTCCCTGCAAGTACAAGCCCAGCAAATACAATTTTTTTTAAATTATTTTTTAAGACAGCATTCACAGCACAGATTAAAGGAAAAGCAGCAGGACATGCTGCACAGCTCCCTAGCTCAGACAGGGACAGGACTAGAGAGCTAGGAGTCCAGAACAACTTAGGAGCTCTGCCTAGCCCTTCTTCCCCAAATATTTCTGTTGTCACACTCTGCACTCTCCAGACAACAATTCCTGTTTCCACTTCCAGTGCGTTTTCTCATATGTAATCTAAGCTTTGAAGTTTCCTGGATTTGGAGTGTTTAGCTGGGTGATGAATGTTCTAAACAAGTTTCTCTGAAAAAAAAAAATTTTTTTTTTTTAAACTTGAATGAAAGCTTGTCACTTCCACAAGAGCCCCAGTACAATTGCTTGTGGGCCTCACTGTACTTAAAACATGGGATGGGTATGTTAAAAAAACTGGAAACAAAGCAGAAAAAAGGCTGGGTATTTCTGTGTGCTTTTGTTTAATCATTAATCGATTTCCCACAAACACCTGTTGTGGCACAGCTAAGAAGATGGTGCACTGTGGCACAGGAACAAGCCAATGCTACTTTAAGCCACCAATCCTAATCTTGAAAGACCAGAGCAGGACTTTCTGTAACAATTCTAGTCTCCTCTGTCAAAGATCAGTGGTAAAGGAACAATTTCTCTCCCCCTCTAAAATGTGCAGCCTGCTGGGGGTGGGAGGGGAAAGAAAAAAACTTCAATTGTCTTACTGTACTTTGTACATAAGAACCCTTCACACACTTCCCCAAACTGTTAGATCTCCTATTTATTCTCACCTGATCCTTGGTCTTCTCTTCTCTTTCACGAATGTAGCCGGCAACAATTCTTTCTGTTTCCTCACACAACCTTGGATATGTTGCCAACTGAAAAGCAAAATTAATAGAAATTTACACCTGCAGGGTGGCTTCAGCAGAATACAAACAGGGGACCTCCAGCTTTCCTCTTTGGAAGAAAGCAGTTATTATAAATGGTTGGGCTAAAAGTTAACTACACTACAAACCAAGCCTTACTTGCTATTAATGGTCATTTTCCATGGAAACTGGAGAGATCTAAACCCTTGGATTGTTTCTGTGCTTTTGCTCCATGGAACACTGAGGAAAAGAGGCTTTGGACATGTGAACCACAGTTTATCAGCCTTGGGGTGAGGTTTCTCCATGCCTCTCTCTTCTACAGTGCCTAATTCCAGAATGGCGCTTTAAATAATTTCCAAGTTTCTTGTTCTTTGAAGGCTCCACCTTGTGGCAACATCTTTACATCTCAATAACAATACTTAAAAATGTAAACAGCAAAACACAACAGTAAATTTGGCCAATAGCACTGGGAAAAGAATCTGCACAATTAATTCAAATGACATATCTTCCAAACTTTGACAAAAATGAAAAAACCTGGAAACTCCACTAAAAATATTGTGGTGAATCCGCTTCTCTATGATCTTTGCCAAAAAGATTGTCACCCTTTCCTGTTTTAAGCAATAGCTCCTTTACCTGCTCATTGGTACAAAAAAAAAAAAATTGCATTATTCAGAAAAATGCAGAGGATGTGACAGGATATTTCTCAACAATTTCAGCATACCTGTGCTCACATCCCAGAACTGTTCCTGTACTTGCTGCTAGCAGGATACCCTGCACTCTGAGATGGTGGGAAAGACACATGAACAGCTGAGACAATAAAAGTAGCCAGTTAGCTAAGAAGTCTACAAGAGTCAATGGGATCTTCTAGAATATCAGAGTAATGGGAGAAAAGAGAACTGAAAATCAGCAACTGTTAGTTGTCAATGCTCCAGACAAGTGAGTCACAGTATTTACAGATGACAACTTTCCTATGAAGGTGAAAAGTGCGAGGGGAAAAAAAGCTTCATATTAATATATCTGACATGCTTCCTTAGCCACAGCTGGGGAGGTGTGAAGTTTGAGGTTTCATTCTAAGAGTATACACCAACCCAAGCACAGACTTCAGGAAATCCATTCCCAAATGCTCATAGTAATGCTCTGTTTAGTTTTGATGAACATATTTCTTTATTTATTACACTTGCAGGATCTTGAGTTAAAAGTTTACTTGATGCACACAACTTCCACATCAGGAAGTTCAATGCCTAGCAGCTCTTTCCACTTAAATGTTCAACACTTCTGTGCAGCAAGCTCATTCGTCAACACTATTGCAAGGATGTACAAATACAAGGGAGATGAAGTCTTCCCAGCTTTCCACTTCTGATTTCTTGACAGCTGAAGATCAGACGTTTTGGGCTTGTGTATGAGAAAAGCACAGGGGAAGTTGTGGACCCATTACATTGCAAAGAACTGTGGTGCTACCCAGTAAAGTTTTGACACAGCAAGAGCATTTTTCTCTCCTTGATAGATGTCTCTGAACACATTTGAGGCCTTTGCTCTAGAAAAATTTCACTGTTTCTTCCTCTTATTAGCATTGGAAAAGACAACTTGAAAGTACAATTTTTTTTGCTGATTTACACATCCATGGAATTGCTGCCTATGTTCCATTTTCAGTACCAATGAAAACATGGTTTTAAAGAGGAAACTGGGGGCAACTCTTGACTTACAAAAACTCCAATCATAAGGTGTCTGTATGTATATGTATATATATGCAAAACAGGAACCAAAAAATGAGCATTTCCAGCATTACATTGTTTTGAGAGTTTTGCAGAAGTTGTAATTACTTTAGAGAATCTTACTCTGTACATGAAGTGACTAGATCAGAAATCTCTTATAATACTGTAAAATGCAAGACAGGCTTTCTATTATCTACTATACCATTACATTATACTTAACTTACCAGATCTACTTGGAAGTTACCTTTTTAGTGCACTTCTTGACAGTGTTGATTAACTCTTGCATCACTAGATCCACACTTTTTAAGCAAGGTCCTTTCAGCTTGACTATCTGTTTTTTAACAATGGCTTCAAATGCCATATCTGGAGTAAACAAACCTGTTCTGTGGACATAAAAGAATATGTAAGACAGTAATAAAAACATCATGCAAGGAAGATTTTTTTTTTTACTGAATCGCTCATATCTTCATTTTCAGAGGCTTACAGCTGAGTAATAACAATCCCTACACAAACAGACTTCCACAGAACTATATTTGCTCCTTTCTCTAAAAAAGTGTCATTGTGAGTAAGAATATAAAAGTAGAAACATGCCCTTCTACTTGAAGATGACTGCGAGAACTCTAAAGAACACTGATATAATGCAGTAAAGCCTCTTCAGCAGTGCATCAAACCTTAGAGAAGGGATGAATGGCAGCTGCAGCACTCCATGCACAATCACTTCCATAGCAAACCCTTAAGAATCCTATAGCTGCGCTTTTCTCTTCACTCACAACAGGAAACGTGGTTCTGTTACTCAGAGTCCTATATGGAAAATTTCACAGTTGGTCACTGCAGGGTACATGACCTTATATAACAGATACCTCACAGAACCAGTTCTAAACAAACAGGCCTCTCTCAAACTTCTCTTTCAAACACTGCTTGCAAAGGTCTATCTTGGCAGATAAATTATATAAAAAAGCAAACTATAAAAACACGTCCAAAACTATCAGTTTACTACCATAAATTGCTCATCAAGACCTTTCAATAAGGCCAGAAAAGTTCAAATACTTCACCACGGCTACTAAAGTCAACCATTTGAGAATTTACTACACAAGTAACGCAAAGAACATTTTCCAAAACACTAAGAACAACAAAGCTTGTAAGCAATGCCTTCGACAGGTATTACGTACTCAGAAAGGGCTGGGGGGGGACGACGACAGACACAAACCACAAAAGAACCCCCCAAGCTTTTTGGAATCTGTTCTATTGTCAAAGGAACAAAAAATGGGATATGCACCTGATAAAATGTCCCTCCAAAATAGACTGATCATTCCAAAGTGAGATAATTAAGTCATTCCAAACCAAAAAACCAAATACCTCCTCTTCCCAAACCTAATAATATACCGCAGACATATCCACAAAGTGAAACCTCAGCCAACCATTTGTAAATCAATCATTCCAAGAAACGATTGAGAATAAAGGGAGTAAGACAGTGCAAGGAGTCTGCTGTAACACAAGCTGAAAGGTTTTTTTCAATATCAAGACACAAGTTTTCCCTCTAAAACTTATGACTTTTCAGGAATACAGGCTTAAGAGAACTGCAGACACTACCGGAAAAAAAGTTACTGGTTTTCTCTGTAAAATAATTTTTCAGCACTTCCAGGTAAATTAAACCTCTTTGGGCAAACCAACTGTTTGGCCCAAAATAGCTACCTGAAAAACAGAAGTGTAAAGGAGTGAAAGAAAAAAAAGTCAGCTGCTGGGAGCAGTGCGTTAGTAACTTAGTCTAGCAGTCAATAGCCAGTGTGTCCACAGGTTAAAAAGACCACACCCTCTACAATGTGACTGGGCTTGAAAACTTGGGAGCACTTGCCTGATACCATGTATGTTCTTGATGGCATAACTTATTTCTCTCCGCAGTTCCTTCTCATTGAATTCCATCTAGAGGAACAAAAGCATATGAGATTATATTAGGGGAAGTTTTTAATAAAACAGAAAATATTACCTCTCCCAATATAACTGGAAGACAGGCAAGTTCAACTGGCAAGTTATTAATTTCTAATTACGCTAAACAAAGCATAAGTATTTTAAAACATTTTAACACTAAGGCTACAGGCAGCAGTAAGGATTGTTGAAAATTATGCACCCTTCCATTCCAGATATACCAACAGCTGGAACAATTTTGCAGAGTTGATAGAGTAAGCCAGAAACAGGATTTGGAAGAGGCAACTTTTTTTAAGCCTGGTTTCCTAAAGTGGTGCAACTTCTGTGATTATGGTCTGCTTATCCTCCCCATTCTACTGTTTTTCAATGAAAGTTAAGAGAGGAGTGGACTCAGTTATGAAGTTATAAAGGTTTTCTTCAAGTTTCTTGAAAGCCAGCTAGCTGGAAGAGAAGTTACTGTTGTCACAAATGAAAGGGTCATTACCTAAGCCCAACAGTCATCTGTTCTGTTGGACTGCTAGTTGACCTACCACATTTAAACCTTGGAACCAGCCACAACCCTGTCTGGTTTTTACCCAACTGAAAGTTAGGGGATGTCAAGGCAGTTGAACATAAAACAGGTGGAAAGGAAGCTTAGGAAAAGTGTAAAAGAATGGGGACTAGAGATACAGTACAGTTCATGGTGAGGGGAAGCTGAAGTCACTGCAGTGAAAAAAAAAAAAAAAAAAATCAAAGAATATGTAACACAAATTCACAGGAAACCAGGTTTCATTAGTTCACACCCCACTGGACCTCCGTTACCCAAAGGATGGGTAAGCAAGAAGAGATGTATCAAGAGGAGAAATGTTGTCTATCTCGAAACACCAAATTTGCTTCTACTCTACCTCCCACTATGAAAGCATAGGACTGAAAGCTGGCTTTGGTTTAATGCATTGAATACAGGAAGTAGAAAACACAGAAAATGGCTATTTTCCATAACTCTAATTTGAATAGGTACTAGCTACTTGAACACAACAACTTACCAACCGTAGTTGTTTGCCTGCCCCATCTAACCAGAAGGAAGATGCCATTTGTGATAAAACAATAAAAAAACATGGAAAATAGTAAGAATGTTCTTCCAGTCAGACCTTATCCTGGCTTTACTACTATCAGTATGAACATAAGAATACGTAAATAAAACACAAAGCACACCAGCAAGATGGATAAATACCTTCACTAGTTCAAAAGGAAAACGTTCATGGAAAATACGATTGATTTTGGCACCTCCTGAAAGTTCTAGCGTGTCAACCTGATCTCCTGATCCTTCGATTCTTTTTTCAAAGTCCACTGAAAACTGTTGTACCATCCTAAATTTCAAAGGAGGGGGAGAAAAAAAAACAAACACAACCATTTAAGCATGTCAACTACCAACTCTTACTTTAGTACTATGTGACTACTAGTGCCTATTAAAACATGTTTAGGAATTGACAAAAGTATCTATAACAACAATTCATTCAGCCAAGCTGCCAATCCATAAAATCCATACCTACACACACACACCCTACACCCCTTCTCTCTCACAAGACACAGCTCAGTATATTTTTCTTTCTCCATAAACATTGTATTATTTTTTTTAAATACTGTTTATTAAACTGTATATTAAAGTCAGCTACAAATACAGCAGGGTACCAGGCTACATTTGTGTTTTATCAATGATCACAAAATTGTAAATGCTACCATTATTTATTACATAAATTTATTTTTTTTTTTTTTTTTTAGGAGAAGGAAAAGCGATAGCACTCTTTTTAGTAGGATAAGCAAATAAAAGTCCTGACATTTAAGTTATAATACTTAATATATTTGAATAGAAAAGCACATCCATATTTAGATGCTGTTACAGAAACTGCAGAGCCCAATGGGGCAGACCACCACAAGCAAAAATCTCCAATCCTACAGGAAAAGTTACCATTTGCAGAGAGCTTACGTCTCCACAATGACCCTTTGATCTTTAATATCTTTCAAAAAGATACAGTCCAACAGCATGATGTGAATCAAGCCACTAAGCTGATGCAGTGCTGGAAAATTTGGAAGAGGTTGCTAAGGAACTTACTTTCCCATGCCAAAAAGCTAGCCCAAGAAGCAGTACTAACATGTCAATGTGGCAGCTGTCAGTACCACAAGCTCCAGCTTACTTGGTTGTGCTTAGACTTCTGCAGCAGGAACATTTAGAAGAACACACGTGAGAATTCCTCCAGTTATGGAAGATTCACGAATAGCTCAATTTTTATTTTTTAAGTAAGTACAGGCATTTGGTCATAAAATTTGAAATGACAGATTCTGCCAAAAAGTAACATTGCATATCAACTGTACACGAACCTCAGATACCTATATGGCCAGGTTAACAGAATTATAGAAAAGTCTAAGTGTAGGGCCCCAGACTCAATTTTTGAAGAGGACTGCAGAAACTTAAGATCATCTTATGGGGTGAGGCGAGGCAGATTTTTTTGTTTGTTTGTTTTCTTACATGCATTATGGCACTTGTTCTCAAGAATCAGAGGAAAGGGTTCTAGTTCTGTTACTTTCCACACACCAAAAGAAAAAGGGAAAGTGAGGAGAATTTTTACTGACAAAAGAAGTTAATTTCTCCTATAGGACCTACTTATAACGAAGGAATTAGAAAAAACTATGCAGAGAAGTATCACGTAAGATGACTTAGGCTGAAATGGATTCGATTCTTTTTCCTTTAGAACACGTTACAATAGTAAAACAAGCATGAGATACCAGCAACACCTAACAATTCACAACACTTCGTATATGTGTTTCTAGCAGTTAAGTCACCAAATATAGAGAGTGAAAAAAAAAACCACACCTGTGTTGTACTGTCATGGAAGAGTAAAAGGTGATGTCCCCCTGTTTTTGCAACCAGATCATCTGAAGTAAAGTCATGAGGGACAGACTTACGTCTACTCTTTTGGACACAGCTGTTACAAAAACAGGGAGTAAATCGGAGTCTTCAGCTGGCTCAAGAAAGCCTCTCTAGTTCAGGAGACCATTTTCCCTTCTGAATTCCCGACTTGTAATTAGAGAATGAATCCTGCCCAAAACTTATACATTTTCATGACCCAGCGCTATTACCGTCTATCCCAGAGAACAGAGAAGGCTGAAAACCTTTGAAATCAGAGTAGGAATGTGACAACAGTCATGTAAGAGAGAAGGGCTAGGTATGTTTTACATCTCTGTTTTTCTTCCTTTAGATGCTTCCTCTTCTAAGAGGTAAATCTTAATTGCATATGAACATAGAAGTGGCTGCAGAGGGCTACAATTTAAAAAAAAAAAAAAAAAAGAGAGAGAGAAAATGGCAGACCTTTTAGGTGAAAAAGTACACAATACTGAGTATCAAGCATCCCTGGAAACAGACCAAGTAAGGAAGCTGCATGAAGCAAAGCAGCAGGTGCTAACTTAGCTTCAATCTGAAACATCTGCATTGCCCTTTTTCCTTAGTGCTAAAACCACAATAAAGAAAGGACTCTGCAAATTCCACTTGATTAAAAGTCAGATGAACAGTCATCTCTGTTCCATCACTTTACAATAATGTTATCAGACAGATTTATTTTGTGGATGAGACCCAAACTGGACAATGACTTCAGCAGTGAAAAAGCTTTCTACTGCGGAACTTATGATAATAATGTAGCTCCAGAAATAGTTGCAATTCCTCCGACAAACAACAATCCATGACTTCTTGAGCCCAAAAGGGTCAACACCTGCCAGATCAGTTTTAACACAAGCACAGGTGGCACATCACATCACCTATTTTGCTGCTAGTTGTCAGATACGTGCTCAGAGAGACAAACCACAAGAAAGAGGTTTTCACACACCCCAATACACTATCACTTGAGTGTAAGAATGGCTGCACTACAGCAGAACAAAAGCCTTATCATGACAGTTACCAACAATAAGTGCCTAGGAGAACGGAGCAAGCCCACTGTAATATTTCTCCAGAATACTCTCTTGGCCTCAATAAATTGCTGCTCACGGGTTCCATACA